AAAAGGTTAAATGAATAGGCTGCAGTATAAACTTTAACTACATTTTGATATTTTAAAAAACATTGAAAGTATTGAGCCATGAGCCATTGGAGCACCCACAAATCCTGGTTCCTATATTTCCCATAATGCAACCATTGCATCTTACATTACGCCTTTTGTGTCAGGTAAAATGTTTTTGTCTTTTAACACCACAACTGTGGTTCATGACACCGATGCATCATAAAAGTGCAAGTCATAAACTCAAGTTAAGGCTCCCTTGGTGATATCACAGCGGCATCATTAGGGTGCATCATGTGGGCCACAACTACTTTGAATGTTTACTACTAACTGATGAACTGATCATTTCTGTGGGAATCTTTTAGCTCTTCGTTCGCTTTCTGCAGCCTTCTCGCTCTCATGTTCCAATCTGAGCTTTATTATAACTGTAGCTCAGTCTCTTACCTCCAGTGAGATAAATGAGCCTCTTGTACTAAAGCTTACTCTCTGCTGCTCCCCTGGCTGATCTGTTTAGTCTGTTACTGAGAGCCAGTGCTGCACTTTCTGACTGCAGGGCATCAAATGTATTCTGAGAAGCCGCCGTATGCTTAAAGATTCCTGAAATCTAAAATAAAACAATCGAACAGAAGCTGCCATTTATAGTCTTTCCTTTCCTCATGTTGGATACTTTTATTCTGAAGGGTCCCACTCAGGTAGTTACATTATAGCAATAAGTAGCTACATTTACTTATAAGACTATACTCAATGCCAATATTAAGCTGTTTTGATAGGTTACTTGGAGTGGATAAGATATCCAAATTACTCCCCATTTTTGACTTTTCAAAATAAGAGTTTGAACGCAGAACCAAGCACTACTTCCTAAAATATATTTTACATTTTTTTTAAACTAATCTTAAAATAAATAGATAAACATGGCTTCATTAACTGATGCAAATGAATAAATACATTGATAGTGGTATATATATTTTCTATGTTTATTTTGATTACGCCCTCTGTTAATGCCATTAACATGCCAGGCAATTCAAATGAATATTAGAGTGTGTGCCTAAATCTGGCACACACATATTTCTCCATATAATGGGTGCTTATGTTAATTAGTACCTCATGCACTTTTAACATAAAAATAAAAATACATTTGCCTAGCATGCACTAAAATCTTTGCTGCTCATCAGTTGTTTTTGTCCAAAATGCTTGAGTAAAGTTATCAGTGCATGGCTTTTAATTGTCAATAAATACTTTTTGATTCGTATAGTTTCTGTGAAATTATTTAGATACTTCAACTACAACTTGATATACTCATTAAGAGCCGTTAAAGTGGACGGAAACGAGTTAAATTGATCATGTAAACAATGGGATTTGTCGCCCCCTGGCGATCATTACCGGTATGCATTTTCGGCAGGCATTTGCAAATATTTCTACCTTAATTAATCAGGATATTTTAATTAGAACGGACCATGCAGGATTGTTCATAGTCGTCATGTTAAAATCCAAGCCACAGTTTTCCCAGACTAGTTCCCCACAACGCGTCAAATCAGCTTTAGTTCCCGTGCAAAACTTCCCGCATTCATTTGAATCCTGATTTCACAATTCAACCTGTATAACCCCCCCCCATTCCTCCCCGTACCGGTTTTCCCGACGTTGCTCGCTCCCAGCACCACAATCTTCACCGTCTTGTTGGGCACGCAGTCCAGCAGGGGGTACTCCGGTATGGGGACCAGCAGAAAGTTGCCAGACCCGCTGCTGTTCATGGTTCCCGGTGCAGGGTCGCCAGTCAGCCGCATTTAGCTCCCCTCTGCCCTCAGCTCAGCCCTGCTCTCACTAGAAAAATAAAAAACAAATCCCTGGACCCAGAGAGGGGAAAAATTACTCCAGCGCGCACATAATATCTCTGTAGAGAGGACACCGGACCTCCTGAGGTAGCCTGTGGATTATTCACGCTTCTAGCAGCTTTAAACGTGTTGTGAAATTACCATAGAAAAACTATTTTATCCGGGGGAAAAAATCCAAATTATCTTCCAAGTATCCCAGTTCCAGTTCAAAGTTTTCCTCCACTGAGTGAAAAGCTTCGTGGATCCTTTTCACTCACTTCACAAACAGGCATCCCTGCCCTCTTTTGACGCCTGAAACAAATAAAAAAAGAGAAAGGGATTCCGATCCGCAGCGATTCCAGATGCCTCTGACTGAGAGCAGAAAGAGGCAGAGAGGGAGGGATGTAGACTTTGAACCGTCCCTATAATATTCCCGTGAGACCGGTCTAAATCGAGCTCCACTTCCCGGCCTGGAATCAGACATCCTGAAGCTTCTGGGAGCTGATAAAACACGTGATTAGTAAGTAACGAAGCTGCAAAACAAACACGCAGAGCAAGACGAGGCCCTGTGAGCCAAATACTAATATTAATAATAAAAATGTCTCCTTAGCTCATTCACACGTTCTACTTCTGTGCTTTCATTGTGTTGGAAGAGCATTTCTGTATTAATCACGTGACCTTTCCAAGGAGATTTTATTTTTTAACATTTTTGATTTGCACAGATAGACAGATTCAGTTGTAGTACAAAGTTTTGATCGGCATTTTCTCCATTTTAAAAATGTTATGTATTCATTTATTCATGAGAATTTTTAAGCCCTCTACTGTTCACCTGTTTGTTCTTCCATCTTCCCAGAGACTTTATTTTTGCCATTGTTTGCCATATATTTTATCTTCATAGTTGAGTCCAAAATCAAAACCCACTTGCCACCAAGGTGTTACTAATAAACATATAACTGAGTGAAATGTTTTCTAGGAACCCAAACAAAAAAATGTAAAATGTAAAAGTTTTGTAAAAGACACTTTATCAGGTTTAAAACGCATGTAAATACAGCAAAAAGTCAAGAGTTTATCTTAAAATTATTGTAATTTCGGTTCACACCCCTGTCGTAGATTAAAAAAAACACACACATTTTAATACATTTTTGATTGTTAAAGATAGTCGCCATCACATTGAACACTCATTCAGTTTCACACAAGACTTTCAGAAGCTTTTAAAAATGTAAAAATGTACTTTGCCCAACTTTACAATGGTTACACGTGTTTATTTTGTTTGTAATTTCAATATTTCTTTTTAAATCTTTGCGTAAATATACAATTGACATGATAATTTAAGCTATTAAAAATGCAATAGCTAAGAAAAAAGCTTTTACGATTGTCTGTTTAAAATAGATGTAATACTTTTATTTATAGATTAAGACATAACTGTGACAAATAACTACTCAGAACCACAGAAATGTTTTAATAATATTTTTGATTTTGAAAAGGGTTGAAAATAAGTGCTCGTATTAGATGCTAGCAGTGGAATGTAATGAAAGGCATTTTATTTCATTTTAAACAAAAAACAACCCACACGCTTTTTATTCCTCCAGCGGTTCTGACACAGGAAGCACCGCCCGCCAAATACAGCCTCATGCACAGAATCCAACTAACTTCAGTCCGTCTGAGTTGTGAGTAGGCGACCCTCCCTCTCAGATTCCCCGAGTGGACGACAGCGAAGTCAGACGGCGACACTAGAACCGGAAAACCACGGGTGTTTAACCTTCAAAATAAAATAAGAGTGTCAGTAGATTAACTCCTGACAGGATTTTAGTTTTCTTGAGTTGTGAGAAATAATTAGTGTAACTACAATATAAGTTAGTTAACTTGTCTAATTATGTGATTGCATCAAGTTTTGCAAATTTGTTATTCACACATCACTGTTTCAACAGTCGGGACCAAAATTTTAACAAAGAAACACAAACTAACTGGAAACCATAAAACAGCTCCACAACATGATTTTGTCTGCAAGCCTCTCCTTCGTCACTCTCCAAGCCCTCATCCAGATCACTCATTATAGTTCAGTATAGATTTTACAAGTCCACCCTTAAATCACTCTTTATCAAGCTCTTGGTGTAACTATAGTCTGTTTTACGACTTTCATTTTTGGTCTCATTTAAGTCTTCTCTTTCATATTCTAGTTTTTTTTTTTTTTAATATTATTATTCATTTAATAATCAGGATACCTGTGTGAGACAATGTGGGTCAGATGTTATATATTACCAAAACAAACACAAAGTATCCAGAAAATATGAAAAAGTCAAATGTGGCGTATTCGATTTTAGTGGAATTTTTTTCAACTTCTATTAAAAATATCTACTGATGTTGATGCCAGCGGTAAGAGGAGAACAGCCAGACTGCTTCGAGCTGATAATAATGCATAGTAACTCAAGTACCTGTTCATTACAGCCAAAGTATGCAGAAGAGCATCTCTGAACAGCAGCAGAAGACCACACCAGGTGTTACCTTGTCTGATAAATCTCAATGACTGTTGCCATATTTGGATGGTAGCGTCAGAATTTGGTGTAAAGAACATGAAAGCATGGATCCATCCTGCCTTGTGTTAACAGTTCAACCTGGTGATGTGGGTTTAATAGTGTAGCAGGATATTTTCTTGTCACACTTTAGCACCAACTAACAACCATTTAAACACCACAGCCTATCTGAGTGAATCCAACATAAATTTACATTTGTGCATGCAACTCTTGTTTTTAGAAGTCAGGGAAGCTGGAGTGCCCTGATATTATTATGAATGCAATTTGCACTAGTATCTAGCACAATCTCAGTCTTACTATTCTATTTGTTTTTATTATAAATACAATTTTCGCTCCCTCTCACAGCATAAAGCCCCTGCTATGTACCTGTGGCACTCTTACTTTTACTAACTATGGTGGTTATTTCTAGTAGACTGTACCATTTTTTTTATCCTACTACTGTCCTCATTTTCCCTCAATAGAGTCTAGCAGCTAGCTAACTTGATAGTTAGCTACTACTGTACAATGATAGGAAAAAGAACAGCTCTAAAATGCATTATTTAAAGCTTTCAAATGGCCAGAGAAATTCATGCCCAAGAAAAAAATAAAACTTTTGACCACACCTGTAAATCTGCTTAACAGTGAAGGATACGTTAAGCCATTTTATTTTGAAAATCAACCCCCTCCCCGGAAGCGCCCTCTGTCGGTCCGTGTACTCTGACAGGTTTATTAAACAGGGGCAGAAAGCTCTTTCGGAACTCTGCAGCCGCAGCGGCTCTGATTATTTCACCATCGGGGTTCGGTCCAACATGGCGGCTTACGGATGGAAATACTGATGACAGTCCGAAAGATCGCCTCGATTTGTACGATGGTAAGAAGCCGAATCCGGTGCTTTTATCCGCGGGGCGTGAATGCGCTGCGCCTCTGTCCGGTCCCCCCTCCCAGGGACGCTAGGCTAGTAGCTGCTCCGCTAGCCTGTTCGCTAACCTCACAGACAGGACAACATAATTAAAAGAAGAAAAAAACATCAGTCAGTCAGGGTTTCTCGGGAAAGTTGTAGAGCCTGCGAGGAGCATCAGTTTACCAGTACTTATCCTGCACCTCTGTGTGGAAAGAGGAGAGGAGCTTCACGGGGAAACAAAGCGTGTTTTAACAGCCAGCCTCGGTTTGTTTACGCGGAGAAGGGCGAAAACTAGGTAGCCTAGCATGCTAGCTCTCACGGCAGCAGTCTCTGGACTCGTCTGGATAAAATTTACGGGCCTTCAAAATGACAAAGTTGTTGTTGTACCATTGCGTATGTAAGTCAAAGGTGTGATAGGCAGACAATGGGCGGATGTAAACAGCTTAGCCAGCTGACTGCTGCCTGTTCATGTGTAACTGGTGGAAAATTTCCAGCAGTTCCTGTCATGGGATACACCCTGGATGCCCCCCAACCCCCACCGTGAACCTGCTAATAGTTTGGCTTTACTTCTATAAAAAAATAAAGAAGCCTTCAGCAAGGCAGAAGAGTCCGGACAGTTTAAAGGAAACCAAAGTTGTTGGGTGTGACTGTGCATTTTCTTTTTTCTTTTTTTATACCGCCCTCTTTATCAGATCTGGAGCCATGTTTACCTTTGCACATGTAATGCCTTGTAAGGAGTTAAATAAGATTTCCCCAGACACACTCTACTCGTTAAAGAGAAGCTGTAGGTGAAAACGTGAGACATTAACACTGCCTGGTTTCCTGTTAATGTGACCAGCTCTGCGTTTGCTTCAAGCTTAACCTCTGACTGTAACTTGTCCTGTTTGCATGTGCCGACCTTTCAGAGGAGGACAGATGGTGATGCAGATGCTTTGGAGAAACCTGCTGCAGTCTTTGTCATTTATTTGTTGTTCCCGTTTGTAAGCTCTTATCCAGTGTTTTGTAACAGCCCAGCATCTACAAGACAGGAAAAAAAAAAGTTTGATTCGTCTCTGCTACCTTTGCGGGCTACGAGGTGCTGGCCGGATGGTGCTTGTTTCCACAGAAAGTTGATTTGGTCGTATGGAAAGTGCGAAAGCCACAAACAAAAGCTGCACAAGCCACAGCGGGGCACGGCCGAATTCAAGCTTTCGTCTGCCTTTGACGTGTGAGGCGGAGGACCTTTGCAGGGTTCAGAGCGTTGGTGTTTCCACAACAGAGCAGTGAAGTGCATCTTTGAAACAAACTGCCTTTGCTTCCATCGAAGGTGGATTTGTATTTTTAAAAGTAGAAGCTTAAATTACTTATTATTTACACATTCACCTGACAAGCAAAAGATCCTCTGGTTTGATCCATAAATCAACCATAAATCCCCCTCTGTGGCTGTGCGTCCATTGAGGGGGGGAAAAATCAGCCAAATTAACATGCAAGGCTACAGAGGCCTAATTGTGAATAAGGGAGCAGCTGAGAGTAGCACTATGTGGCCAGAGTATCGGGAAATTTCAAAAGAAAAATAATTATTAAATCTAACCTTAACTGAACCAGGATAATATGGTGTGAGATTTAAAAAAAAAAAAAATCCTGTCCAATCCATGGCAGTTGCGTAGACTAGTAACACGCATGAACATGCACACAGCTAAGCTCCACGCGACGAAGCCTAAAACCTCAACAAACAGGGTTAGTAATAACTGAACCAAACTGTAAAGTTTCAGTTTAGTTTACTGAGATTTCAATTAAAAAAAAACCCTCAAACATGAAATTATATAAAATAGTTATTTGTGAAATGGAGTTCCTCAGAAGTTATCCTCAAAGTTCACAGAGTTGGGCTTAACCAGGCAGCGTCAGGGTTAACCCTGGGTTAGCCTACATTACTATGGTAACAGATAGTTCGAGATTAGAGATTAACAGATATGCCATGACCGCCTGCTGACTTGTCAATAGTAAGTAAATAACGTTACTTGGATTGTTGCACTGTTTGGTAGTACAGGACCCTGGTCCACCTTAAACCACCTTAAAAGTGTATTCAGGGAGAGCAGCTGCTTGAGGTCTAGTAGGTAGATATAGATATATTTGTAGTTCAGTGTGAACTTTGAGGAGAGACAGAAGAAATGAGTCTCGTTGTCACGCTTTATAAGAAAAGATGGGAGCAGATAAAACCCGTTATTACACACTCATTCCCGAAGTTACATTCCGATCAGTCATGCTTACATGCCTGGTCATCACTCAAACACTAATTTTGAGCTGGGAAGATTACAAAAAAAATCCGCAGAAATAAAGGAAAGAAGCTTCATTTTCTTTTAAAACGCAGCAGACGCGGCTCGTCTCGTGGACTTGAGTTATTTCGGAGCACGGGGGCAGGAAAAGGGCAGACAGACTAATGCTTTCCTAGCATCCTCCCGACCGATCGTCATGATTAACAAACCCGATCGGTGTCTGACAAAACAGCCACTTAAGAGTTTCCACTCGCGCTGTTTTCTAACAGCCTTTTGTGCTGCCCCGACTTCACTTCAACTTTCATTTCCACCAGTGCAGGAAGTGCAGCTCGTTTCAGAATCGGCATAACCCAAAAAAAGAAAGCACGAGTTAATTAAAATGTGTGATTTCAGAGCACGCTTAGACCGTCTCACTCTGCACGCAGATGTTTGCTGTCGTCTTTGTTTGCCTTTCTGAGATCAGCGAGCTTGTTTTTGTTTACAGCCCCGTGCTGCTCGGGGGTCGTGTTTGTCTGTGACTGTACAAAGCGTTAGCAGCAGCATCATCATCATCATCATCATGCCCCTCGCCTCGCACTGTTTCTCCCTGCTGGTGTAATTTAATCCTCGGTTTCTAGCAGGACTGCAGGGTTATATGTCAGTGTTATTCAGAAGTGTTTTTATTGCACTGTCACGTAAACACAGCCCTGCTTTCACATCCACGCTGTGCTACGAATCTGTCAAAATGCACTTCACATAAATGCAGTGCTTCTTTTAAAAAACATTTATTCTACTGCAGCTCAAACACAAAACCAAATCAACAGGGCAGTGCTTTCACTTTATGTTATGTTACTTTAAGCTTCTTTGCAGGCTTGCCCTGAGTGGAAGTATAGAAGCAAAATGCACTGCAAAGAAAACAGCTGGGTAATGTGTGAGGAATGGAAGGATGCCACATCAGGATCGACCTACAGAAAACTGTAGGGTGGTAGAGTTGTGTAAGGACGTCAGGCTCTCAGGCCACCCTCATGAAGTCTGTTTCTGATTGTTTGGTGAGAGACATTCACACCAGTGTCCTGCTGGAGGTCATTTTGTAGCTCTGGAAGTGCTCATTCTCGCAATGGTCGACCTGGAGGAATTAGACTACCTGTGTGACCTCTGTAGGGTCCAGTTATGGCCTGATGACGATGGGGGTTCAAATTTGATTAATTGCGGGATTAATCAATGTGGGACTAATGTTTCAGTCACGTTAGAGCTATAAAAACAGGGCTACAGCCTCGTTGCAACAATAGAAATCGGTGGTTGCTCAGCAATTGAAAACAGTTCTAGCGACCAGAGGTGTGGAACACCCTCAGCTTGCAGGTCACTACAGTCACAGAGCAGTTGCACAGCAGGTCTCCTGGTTTTAGGCAACTTGTCTCCAAACAGTCAGATTCAGGCAGTCACTCTTGCTGTCTAATTGACAAACACAGCAGTCGGCCTGATTCAGCTGTGCCAGTGCTGTAGTGGGTTTGACTCGACCAGTTTGCAGCTGGTTTTGTTCTGGTTATGCTGCCATGAGCTTGTGTCATTTTTGTGGTTAAGTTGTCGTTGCAGAAGCTACGTCACAATTCGTGGAGGGATTTTTAAAAATGATTTAAATTTCTGCCTTAAATCTGTGACGTTCCGATCAGACTCGTTTGCACTAGTTTGTTAACTGACGTTAAGTTTTGAGCAGCTGTGACAAACTCAGTCCAAGGGTCAACTCGCCCCCGTTCAGTCACAAACTGATGGCAATAAAATAAGACTGCTATCTTGATGAATAAAAGTTGCTTTGACGACCTGCGCGGCCCAGTCTGTGTAACAAATACTTCAGAGGAAACGAGACTGCTAACTTTTTGCACACGTTGGTAATAATTGTGGTCATGTGTCTGTGTCTTTGAGCCTAAAGTCCTCAGTTCTCGGTGTCAAGAAGGCATCTTCTCTTTTTACCTGGCTAGATCGCCATGGTAACTAATGCTGAACACATAAACTGGACCGCAGCAGGTTATGTTCAAGTCATGCAACACTATCCCTCTAGATTGACGGAATGTGTTGCCCTCACTTTAGTCAGCGTTCACATTTTGGGTATCAATAAAATTGCTTTTCAGCATGTTTTTAAACGGTTACATATATGTAGATGTGATTAATGGGGCTCGTCAGTGTGCAGAGGAAAATAAAATGCAGAAACCGAGGATGTGAAGTGAAAAACAAAGCTGCAGCAAGCAGATGGCTGAAAGTCCAGCAGAGCAGAGAGAAAACAGAGCAGGAAAAACTGGAAACTTTGAGGAGGAAATTAGGACAAAGGAAGTTTTTAATGGATCATTTTTCATTAAAACAAAAACACTGACTGCAAGTTGTTACACATCCAAAATAATATGAAAATGTTCAGGAAAAAATAAATAAAACAGTCATTCTTTTCCTTGTTTTAATTCTTTGCTTGCAGGGCGCCAATGCCTCTGCCTTGGAAAAGGAGATTGGACCGGAACAGTTTCCCGTAAATGAACACTACTTTGGCTTGGTTAATGTAAGTATCTGGTGGTGGCCGTGCACCTGTTTACCTGCTGCAGACTGCAGAGCACAGCCAGCAGCTACTAATCATGTTCGTCTGTTTGAAGATTCACACCGGATGTTTAGTTGTCAGGCCACTTCTTTAGCACTGCCGTGGCTTATTTGGTGTAAACGAGCAGAAAATGTGCCTTCCTCTAAATCCCCTGGCCTTCTCTCTGTTCCTTTTTCTTTCTAGTTTGGAAACACCTGCTACTGTAACTCGGTGCTGCAGGCTCTGTACTTCTGTCGACCGTTCAGGGAGAAGGTGCTGGCGTACAAGGTAAGTAATGAGAGACGAACTGTTGAGATGAAACCTGGTGCCCTGACAGAATGCACACACAGCTAAATGCCATATTGATATGATAGAGAGTTACACGTTTAAGTTTTCATAAAAACCAGATGTTTAAATTGAGCCAAATCTGGTGCTTGGTTTGTGGTGCAATGGTTCTCATAGGTTTTCATCTTGTATACCATTATAGCCATTTGATAGCCTCAACTTCCTCTTTGAATGTGTTAATTTGAGCTTATTTGAACTCATTTGTATTTGGATCTGGATTTCTTAGAAGCCTTCCTTTACAAATATTGACTTAGTTGCTGTAGGACGGCTATCAAACTGCAAAATTACACCGGGGCTCCACAGCCTTGATTTTATGTAGGACCATAACCAGAATTCAAACAGCTGAGTCAAGTCCTCTATTGCAAAAAGATGTGACGCAAGCAATGAGTGCAGACTGACTAAATTGCACGTTGGCAGTTAATCCCATGAGAGTCTCATGGGCCTGTCCAGAGGTTGCAAGTGTTGTGTACTCCACATCTGGGCAACCAACTACTAAAATTCAGTGAAATCATGGAGCAAACTAGTTGCAAGGAAGTTGTCGTCCTCTTTTGACTCTGTTGTGATGGAGCCATAAGATTGCTTAGTTTGTCAACATTTAGAGAGAGTTGGGGAATGGCTGCAATCACAGCAATGTAAGATAGTGAAGGATGTACCCTCCTCGATTCAGAGATGGTCTATCTTGTAAATGGCCTCCTTGCCCCCCCCCGCTCAAACCAGCGTTCCTCTCTGTCCAGAATGTGTACATCCTCATCATTGAAAGATTTAGGTTAACTGACGATTCATTCATTCTTTGCTATAGTTCACATAACCTGACTTCCATAGAGTAGATCAAGTATCAAGGTTCAGGCTAGTGTAGTACCATAAGATAATGTTAAACTATCTCTGAGTTGCTGAGGCCTTTACAGCGTAACGTTGACTATCTCCGTCTTCTTCTCTTCAGGTGCAGCCTCGCCGTAAAGAGTCCCTGCTCACCTGCTTGGCTGACCTGTTCAACAGCATCGCCACACAGAAGAAGAAAGTCGGCGTTATCCCGCCCAAGAAATTCATCTCACGGCTGAGAAAGGAAAATGGTGAGTGACTCAGCATGATGCTGAACTTTGTTTTTCCTTTTTTCAGAAAGAATATTCGTTGAGGTCGAACGCTTCGACTCTGCAGCTCTGCCAGATTGTGCAGCTGCTGTTTGTGTACGAAATAAGAAAAAAAAAGTCGAAGTAAAATCGGAGACTTTCCTCCGTCAGTCGCTTGTTTTAACCCCACTTCCTCTCACTATTGACGAGCACAGCTGAGGCTGGCGGGGGAGAAAGGGGATGAGGCAGATGGAGTGGGGAAAGGAAAAGAATGAGAGGAAGGGGAGGGTTATCGCAGCTGAAGAAATATAATTGTCAGCCAGATCCTGAAGGGGAAAGCAGATGTAGGAGAAGACGACAGGCTCCTGATTTGCTATATTTCTCATTGCCAGCATTCTGATTGCTCTTTATTCTTTGTTCTCTTTTCTTCTCACGTCTGTTATTTCCTATATTCCTCTTTCCACTTCTCTATTCTCACGCCTTTATATATCTTTATGTTTTCTGTTTATGTTTCGTTCTGCTTGCTATTTTTATTTTGTTCCTCTCAGAGCTGTTTGACAACTACATGCAGCAGGACGCCCACGAATTCCTCAACTACCTTCTCAACACCATCGCTGACCTTCTCCAGGAGGAGAAGAGCCAGGAGCGGCAGCAGAACGGAAAACTGGTTCAGAATGGAGGTGGAGGAGTGGGAGGAGGGGGAGTAGGAGGAGGCAGTAGCGAATCAGGAGGAGGAGGTGGAGAAGTGGAAGGAGGGAAGGAGACGCAGCAGACCTGGGTGCACGAGATCTTCCAAGGAACGCTGACCAACGAGACGCGCTGCCTCAACTGTGAAGCTGTGAGTGGCTCGAGTACTCGGAGTTTGAACTGCAGATCAGTATAAGAAGATGGGCGTGACTTTAAACCTGAATTCTTTTTAATGGTCAATTAAAGTAAAGTCTATGGAGGAACGGCCCTCTCATCCAAATCCTATAGTAGTTACGTTTTCCAGGAAGTCCAGACTGTTCCCTGATTGTTCCCTTGTCAAACACAGTGTGTATTCTGGAGTGTTTGTGAAGGCCCATGTCTTGTGTATCTGTGACTGCCTCCAGCTGGCTGTAGCACCAAAATCAGTCTCAGCAAATCTTCTTCTTAATTGTCCAAGTTCAAAGTCAGGCTTTCTTTGTGTTATCTGGTTCTCTAAAACCTGAAACCCCAGTCAGAGATGATGATGGTGTGAAGAAGTATGACGATGGGGGTTATCAAATTTCTGTGTTAAAGCAGGGCTTCCTGTGGGCTCATGTGAAAACCCTTCCCAGGTTATATGACTCTTCTTCTGCACAAAACAATCCCTCCGAGTGTCACGTCCTCCAGTCAGAGACATGATCAGATGACTATAAAATAGTGTCAAATCTCCAAAGAACACGAAACAGAAGAATGCAACAGCATTGCAAATGAGACTAGCACACAGAGGGGCAAAATAAACTTTTGAAGTTAAATATTTTATCACCAAGCTCAGTGCTGCTGTTTATTTGTGATGACTGCAAACTGGCACAAGTTGTGGTTCAATCAGTGGTTTCAGTAAGGTGCAGATTGACAGCTTGCCCATATTAAATAGAATCAATATGACACTTAGAATAAGCTGTAAATAAACAAATCGCTGAAAGCGTCACACTTCCAGATGATTTTAACCCAAAAGTCTGGACCTGCGTTCAGTCTATGTTAGCGCGGTGTTTTAAAAGACGAGCCTGTTGTAACACAGGAAACTCGACCCAGCTCTCAGCAAGCCATTAATCTGACTACAGGTAAAATCTGTGTGAGACACTGAGTATTAATTTTTATCTTAATTTTCCACTTTGCTCGTTTAACCGATCAGGTCATTAATGCCGTTGTCATGACGACACACCATGTGACCTTGGGCGTTCGCCCTTTGCTTTTGTTTCAGGTGAGCAGCAAAGACGAGGACTTCCTGGATCTGTCTGTGGATGTGGAGCAGAACACGTCGATCACGCACTGTCTCAGGTACGCCGAATTTATTAGCGATCAATAAATAAATAAAAGAACGATTAAAGGATGCTGGCTGATCTTAGTGACGGCGTTTGTTTCTGCTCATCAGGGGCTTCAGTAACACAGAGACGTTATGCAGTGAATACAAGTATTATTGCGAGCAGTGTCGCAGCAAACAGGAAGCCCAGAAAAGGTGAGTGACATCATCATCACGTGACTTTTCTGATTTTCTTTCATCACCTTTTGTTTTTGCTGCCTTTAAACCAGCTCTGTTACTTGACCTTCAGATAGCACACAGAGCTCTTACCAGGGAACTCTTTCACAAAGGCTTTTCCCCCTGATTGTTAAATGCATACATTTCATGCTGTAGGATCTGCTGGTCTCAGCAGGTTTTCAGATGGTGCAGAGAAGCTAATGTAAACAATGAAATCCAGTATGAAAAGGTCTCTGATGGGCCCTAAATTAAAAACAAGTGCCAAAAATGTGTTTCTTTACTTTATTGTGAAGTAAATGAACATTGATGGCATTTCTGATGATGCAGGATGAAAATACTGAACGTTTCGTCAGCTATTGCTGCTCACAGGCAGCAGCATTTCCGAATGTAAGTAACTGCAGGGCTTTTTACATCCTTTATCAATGAGCCGCTGCCATAGACGGCATGCTGCCGACGTCGAAGTCTGAACTGTTACCATCAGGTGCCAGCAGCAGCATTACAGTAAAATATTAGTGGCACAGCATTATTTCCAGTGACAAAAGCATAACTTTTAACCACCTGCTTTTCCACCGTATAATCGCGTCAGCTATTTCCAGCCACCGTTTGCGCTTCATGTCATGTGGAGCACAGCTAGCGAGCGTGTCAGCGATGCACTCAAGAGAGTGTGTGTGTGGGCTTGTGTCGTTGTCGTGCAAAAATCCTACTTGCTTTTTTTTT